CAGTAAAAGGCAATCTTTCTGCATTTTCCTAGGAACAAAAGCCTGAAAACAACTGTTCGCAGAGCGATACAGCGACTGCTGAAGAAGTAGCGCACAATAACCATGAACGAACCAAGTGCCTTATCAAGGACCTTGGCCAGATCCAACAGGACTACATGGATCTCCAAACCCAGGTATAACTGCGTGGCCAAACACAGGCGGGTTTGAGGGAAAGCTGTGTCTTCCAGACGAGTTTACATTGTATTGGTTTTGAATCTCCTCCTGGCCGCTGTACCACAGTTAGAAATAGATCTACTTAAAATTGCCGTGTGATTTTTCCCAAATCTGGGAGAAGTTAAGCTTTGTTAACAGTCGGTAGGATCAGGCAGCTCAGTAATCCCCATTTAAAAATGAACAAACCAACTCCAGCCAGGCAGTCACGTGCGGAGTTCTCGGCGTAGGGCTGCCAAGCTCGAAAGCGGTATTTCGTTCTTCAGATCTTGAAGGCTGTGGCGGAGCGGCACAACTGCACGGTTGCCTTCCCATCACGTGGTGAATTACAGGCGCTCTTCAGACCAGTTCAAATGGATCAACCCCTCTCGCCCAGTAAAATGACGCCTGAAAAAGAGACGGTGTTCTCTGGGGGTGGGCTGAGGGTGGAGGGGGCTGGCCCTAGCTATTTGTTAAGAGTAATTGGATTTGGGTGCTCCCAAGATTCATAGCAAATGCACCGTAACATTTCCTGTCGGCTCAGTTTAGGCAATGCTTCAGTCAAGAATTAGGACTGTGGCTCCTGTTTACGTTAAGGTTTGGTAATAGGGACCTGGCATAACTAGAGTCATAACTTATGCAAATCACTAAATGTTATCAAAGTTCAGAGCTACTCACAACTTGTTAGTGCTCACCTGGGCCAGCATTTTCTTCTTTTGATACTCACTTTAAATTAAAAGGCAATTCCACGTTGTCCTAGTCCTTTAATAAATCCTTTATAAATTGTTTCTAAGCCCTTTAAAAATAGGGTCCTTCAGAGAAGAACGTTGTTAGTGACAAAGTGAAAGCATTCAAGGAGACTGTGCGAGACCAGCGTATGAACAGGTTTAAGTTAACAAGTTGTGTCTTGGATGGTAATAGAGGCAGCTAAAGTTACCGAGGGGCTCCACAGGCAAAGTTAATGTCAGGATTGGGGCTGCATCTGTTCAGAGGCTTTGTGATTTCCAATTGCAGTAGTCAAAATGTAAACATCTCGGAACGAAGCCTTGTTCACTTATACAGGAAAATCCCTCTGGATTGATGCATTTGTAACGTGACAGCAAAATGGTGAGACTGTTCTATGACGTAGGTTAAAACTCAAGACGACCTGGAAAAGAGACAAAGGGAAATACAGAAGGCAGCCGTGTTGCTTCAACTGGAGGTTGAAGATGAAATTAGGATGGGGTTTACGTCTTCAAGCCCATCTTCTCTGGAACCGCTGGAAGATTTGGAAGCATCTTCTGAAGTAAAGGGTAGTCTGCAGTGTGAATCTGATCGCTTAGAGGAGGAGGAGGCTGGTCCGTTTGCCGCTGCTGACAAAAGGCTCCTCTCGCTGGAAGAAAAGCTGAATTTTTCTAAAGTCTTCTTAATGGTAAAATGCTTTCAAAACGTAGCTGCTGCTCACGCTACAGCTGAGCGCGTCAGTATTGGTAATTAATAACTGTAATGCTCCATTGCTGAATGTGCTTTTGTTTCCAAAAGGATGAACAATGGCGTGGAGAGGCTCTCCGAGAAAAACTGCAGCATCGTGAAGATCGGCTGAAGGTGGCACATCTCCTCCAGTCACGCTAATATGTCCCATGAGTCCCTTCTAAAAATGAGCTAAACAACCCAGGAGCGTGGGGGATCCTTCTCCAGCTCTGGCATGTCCACTCTGTGCAGAACGACTAGCTACAGCCTATCTTTGGGTGGGAACAGTAAAAGCAAGCCTAGCAGCTGCGTGCTATATCAAGATGAATAATTTTAATTAACAGTTAATTGGATTTTTGAGTTTTCCAACAAGATTCCCTGGTTTACATCATACTGTGGTATGTGAGCAACATGGCAAATTACAGTTCAGCAGCACCCGTGGTCACTTTCAGTACAGGTGATGGTCAAGTTTAGTTAGAACGTATCTGTTGCTCTCTCTTCAAGCAGTTCATGATAGAGGCCATAAAAATAGAGCTTATTTCTGACTTGGGAGGAGGTGAACTCTTTAAAAACAATTTGCAAACCCACTGCCATCTGCTTGTGGTTTGAGACACTAACGTTACATCCCTTACGGCTTGACTTTAAGGTCATCTGGCTTTTTTCTTTTTAAATACAGTCTTGAAAATTACACTAGCTGGATATAAATAGAACTAATGATGTATTTAGGCTCAGCTCCGGCAGTGCATGTCCAAGCAAGTAGAAGTATTAATCAGAGGAAAACAGCAAACGGAAGGCACCCTTCACAGCTTGAAGCGACAGGTTGATGCACTGGATGACCTGGTCAGCAGCACTTCTTCAGATGCCGAGTTTCTAGCCCAAAGCGCGAGTCTAGTGTCTCTTCACGATGCTCTGCATGCAACAAAAACACAGGTAATGCTCTACCGCGGACAGGGATTCGGGGTTTGGTGTTTTTAATAATTTTTAGCTCACTAGTAGTCTACTACAGCCGTACGCTCGCCGTCTTAGAGGCGCTGCAGGGGTTTTCCGAAGGTGGGGTGAGCGTACTGTACACACGGTTACTCTGGCAGCAGCGAACTTGTTTGAAAGGGTGAGTTTTCCTCAAAGTTGTTTGGTTTGTGGGTTTTTTTTTTCTTTTTACTTTGTCTTACCTTTTATTCTTTAAAATCCAGATTTTTCTTTGTTCCCTAAAGATTAATATGACTCTGCTAATTGAATACCTTAATTTATTACTCAGCCTTACTTTTACTGCTTTTTCTAGGCCACTCTGACAAGAGTTGCACACTTCCCCGGCAGGCCGGCAGGTGTTTCGGCGGCGTCTCAGACGCCGCGTTCCTGCTCGCGAGGAATTTCTCAGTAAAGCCCAGAGGTGAGACGTGACTTCAGCCCAGCTCGAACTTCGTACCGAGTCACGAGCGTCTCGGAGGCTGGGGCTTGTGGGCTGTAGGTGGTGGTAGCCCAAGGGCAGGTGTGGGCGCAGGACTGTTCTCGGGCCGTGTTGTCCCTTCCCAGTGAAAGCATTCCTGTGGTTGGTATCCTGGCACTCGATGCCGTTTTGGCTCTTAGATGTCTATTTTCAAGCAAATTGTGGGCGAGAGCTGCTTGCCAACTCTCATACGACAGAGAAATTACTGCTGCGTTGACCAACTTAAATGTTGAGCTACTGCTGTCCTCCATCTCTCAGAAACGCTGTTCTGGCTTTGGTAAATGTATGGCCTAGCGTCTAAATTTCAGTTACAGCTACTCACAATACTGGCCCGGTACTTAAGTGTTCTTTTGTAACGATTTAAGTTAAAAATATATTACTTCAAGAGCTGCCCTACATTTAGAAGAAAAGCTTCAAGCACATCTACAGCTGCTTCTAGGAAGCTGCCAGGCAGCAGGAGTGAAGCAGTCTCTCAGGACAGCTGTGAACGCTGCCTGTGCTGTGCACATGTGAACTTCCCTCATCACGGGGCAGGACCACTGACGTCAGCTCTCTTCTAGGCGACGCCTGATCTGCGTGCACTGCTCCTCAGACACGTGCCATCGGTTACCACCTTCGAAGACTTCTACCTCACTATTTTGGAAGCCTTTTCTAAAAAGACATTTGCCACCAACAGCAAACAGCTGGCTGCAGGGCCTGCGCTGTACTGTGAAGTTTTTGTACAATTAAATAACTGAGCTTTATGTATATAAGTTGTTTTAAAAACTATTTTAAATGTGGATTTAAATGTGTCCAAAACAACTACTTCTGTTTGTCAGTTTCTACTTTAAAGAAAGCCTGTAACAGGGACAGAGTTGTCCATTTACCTGTTGTCAAATGCATGGATGTTTTAAATATAATTATTTTTGAGTACTTCCTGAAAATAAACTCCAGTCACTGCAGTTTGTTTTAATCCATGGTTGGCTGGGTTTTGTTAGAGTTACTCTCCAGGATATATGCAGTCCTGGATTAGGACAGCAGTAGCACATTCTTTGCAGAAAGTGAAACTTGTCCAGTAGTTACAACTCTAACTTGTAGCTGTCACTGGCTCCTGTTGGTAACCTTCAGCTCCCCTTCCTTCGCTGAAGGCTTTGCTGTATCATAGTATGTGGCCACAGTTAATGGCTCTGTAACAAAGTTCCAAGCAACTTGCTCTTAATTAGTAGTGGAAAAAACACTTTGTAAAGCCTTTGGGCTGCAGGAACAAGGCACCACAGGACACGTTGCCACACCGAACATGTGGCATGTCCTAAAGAACATCTCTTCACCCTCCAGCAGGAAACTTGCACAGAGTGACTCTTTCCTTTTTTTACAGGCTTTGAAATCGTTCTCAATCTTGCCCTTTCTCATCCACATTGTTAATATAAACCTTTTCTACGCAGCAAGTGTCACCCAGCAACTCTGTCACACTGCACTGGGAATAAACACCACTACCCAGCTCTGGCCATTTGTTCTGGACTCAGTGCTGGCCTGTTACATCCTGAAGAGTTTTGGGCTCTAGCAGTGACTGGCAGACCCCTTGTGAAAAGCCTGTGACGTTTTTACCGCTTAAGGTCCATGACAAAGGTTACCACAGGCAGTTAAAGCACACATACCATCACTACAAGGGATTCTTGCATAATCTGGGGCAGTGCTCACATTCTTCCTCCGCCAGTTTAATGAGATGCTGTTCTCAAGAACCGGAGGCCTGACTGCAGGCGAGCAGGAGCACCTGCCTGGCAGCTTTTCAAAGCCAGCTGCTGTGCTGGACCGAGAACAGCCTCAGACTTTTGGAGCGAGAACAGCAGCAGTCCCCATTAGACAGCTCCACAGAACAAGCCCCCTTACAAGCCACACCACAAGCAGAGGAGGCCAGAGCAAATAACACAAGCCACTGTAGTTTATCTAGATACAGGTACTTTATTTACAAATATTTAGATTAATAGCATTGTTACATCAAATGAGGAGTACAGCAGTCCGAACAAATCCTCTCTGTGACAGAAACAATAAGACCTACTACTGTCACTTACTCTGGGAGTACAGGTATTGCACCTCAACAAGCTGTCATCATTAGAACAGTTACTTCACGTCAGCATTTACTTCACATCAGCAGCAGGTCGTGGTCCCTGGGCAAACCCTTGGTGGTGCAACCTCGGTTTTAGCAGGATGCATTAGCTGTAGATCTTGAACATACCCATCTACTTAAGAATATTAGTTAAAAAAAGGACTAACCAGACAAAACAAAGGGACAGTGCACAAGTTACCCAAATCCTATTGTCTGCACATTCCAGTTTTGGCTTTTATTTAACATTGACTGTACAATACTCGGTACCACTGTTTACTTACAAGTCTGAACATTGTATAGTTTTAGTGTCTAGAGAGGGATTTTAAGACTACTTTGTATTTTAAACGCTGCGGTAAGACTGAGGTCGGACCTCTGATCACGGTTAAGCACTTACACCCCCTTCCATTTTTAAGCCATATGCAGTGTTTTCCAAGTGAAGCTTCCTGTGAAATACAGCAGCGCTGCATGTAGAGCCACGCATCGCTGTCTGACACCACCGTAAACCCCACACGTAGTTCAGGAACATCCACCTGTGCACGGTCACCGCTCGACATCTCCCCTCTACGCGAGCATTACAGGCTGTGTCACCCCACGGAGGACGTACTCAAGGGCTTGGTGAAAGAGCCCGAGTCTTAAAAGAAACCCTGACACAGGACTGTTAAAAAAAAAATACAACAGTAGTTAAAAAACCCTAGAGAGCACACACACACACGCACGTTGTTCTGACCGTCCAGTTCAGCCTCTGACCATTCAAAAAGTTAAAGGTATAAAAGCGTAAGATGTGCAAGAGAACCAGCCTTTGTATACAATGCAAGGCAGGCGATGAAGCCCAATAATGCAAAACGCTTACAGAAGAGAAAAGCAGGTTAGCACACCGCTGATTGCACGGAACGGGATTAATAAAACGGCATAGATATACCACAGTGCAAAGGTGAAAGACAGATTCCACTAGTGTTAGTTTCTGCGTCGGGCTGAGAGTTCCCCCAGCACAACGGCCACTGGCGACACGAGGGGTTAAGCCTATTTCTGTCCTAAGGGGGCAATGTGGTCACATATAGGTCATACTGTACAAACTGGTATTTTCTTATATACTGTTCTAATGCCAGTAATCATTTTCTTCATTAAAATCATATACACAGGATGTATTTAACCATTAGCTCAGTTCCTTCAAATTTTATACATATTTACGTTCTGTTAACAAATGTAAAGGATAAAAGTGGCAAAAAAATGACGTAAAGCTATGAGCACACGAACGAATGGATTGTTTCCCTGTGCAAGTTGTACGCTCCCGCGCCAGCCCACCCCTACCCCCATACGCACCCCAGGGAATTCTTTCAACAAAAGCACATTGGTACAGAGCCCCTCGCTGCCGTCGAAGTCATTTCACAGCAAAAACTTATCCTTTACTACGGACAGCTCTAAACCGTAGAGGTGGGGAAGAAAGGCCAAAGAACCATAAAATTAAACCGTACAAGACAAAGCCCTGCAAACGTGTAAAATCATGAGTCCAGCATCAGTGCTCAGTTTAAATTATGTATCGGTGACACTATCACAAGGACAATCAAGGAAAAAAAAAACTTCTAGATTTACCATGCAGGAGAGGTTTTATTACTCTACTTGCCTTTGATAACCTGATTACATCTAAAGTTGTTTAGCAGTTTAGTACTGTGTTAAACTCGTCTCAGAGTTTTAATTAAACCCAGTAAGATGTACAGAAGACAGGGAAGCAGTCAAAAGCACCGCTTCCAACAGACAGAGGTGAAAGGTCAGAAATGGAGCCACGAAACAGAGGTCACTAGCAGCCACAGCCTTCTCTCTGGGGCTGGGGTTCACTGGTTAGTCGCCCCCCCTGCGGAGCTGACGGTTTGTGCTGTACACCCGATTCTGCAGCATTCAGATCCAGGCTTCCGTCTTGGATATTCTGGTAGATTTTCTTGGCAGCCTCCAGGAATGCATCCTCAACGTTCTCTCCGCTACGAAGAGAGCAGCAGGAGTTATTTAGGCTACGCTGCAGCAAAGCGACGCAGGTTACGGAGGCAGCTGGCTAGACACCCTTGCTGGGATTTGACAGGTCGCCAAGTATAAGCCAGTTGCTACCCTGTCCTCTTACATGCAAGAGGAGCTTACAGTCCTTAAAGCAGACATACCACAAAGTTTGACAACCTATCCCTGGGACAGCCTTTGATAGGGCAATTCACTCCCTAGCCATTAAGTCTATTAGGACTAGCCAGGAATAAAAAAAAATAAATACATGCCAAAACACTGAGTAGCAAAACTAAGCTAAGGCACTGAGCCACATGCACTGAGCAGTTTTGAAAGAGGCTTAAAGATAGGGGAGCTACTATTAATCAAAACCTTTTTGTTAAGAAGTTCCATGAAAACAGGCGCCAGTTGGAACCACATTTACTGGTGTCACGGGAGATCCGATCCCTTGCGTTCTGACAGGCTCCCCAGCTGACACAGCCTACCACCAGTACGGTGCGGCGGTTCCTCGCAGTGACCGAAGGGACTGGCTGTTCACTGCACAACGTGCTTACAGCTCGAAACATCCGAGGGAAGGAACATCTAATTGGGAACCACTCTTAACCACAGGTACACATTCTACACTCAAATGATGTCTTAAAACCAAAAAACAGTTCACTTGTTGAATTCAACAAGCCTTTGCCTGAAATGTAGCGAGAGGTCCCATTTCCAGATCACCTTTCAAGTCAAAGCTGACGTGATCGAAACCACTATACATACCTTACCCTCTAAGAGAACTCAAAACCAGTGGTTTTTTTCACTTGTAGAACCCTACTATACCTGAACCCTATGGCTATACTTCGTCATAATCAATATATTCCTCTTAAACAGATCACATCTGAATCATTACTCTAGAGAAAAGTAACTTACGTTTTTGCACTTGCTTCAAGGAACAATAAACCTGTTCAGAAACAGAGGTTTAACAGTCAATGCATAATATACTTCAAATAGCCCGAAGTCAGTCGCAGCAAGACCTGCTGATTACATGCAAGACACTGTTTCAGTACTAAACGGTATTTTTTGACTAAGTGAAGGCAGCAGTACACAAGCTGATCTCTAGAACGAAGCACAGTTAAGAGTTCAGCCAGACTATCGAGGCACAGTAGAAGTTTGTACATACAATTACATTACTTTGGAAGTGTAAGCTTGTGGCTATCAATGCTGAGGATTCACTTTAACATTGCTATCTTGTAGGAAACGTAACAGCTCAAGAGAAAACACACACCATTTTCTTCAGCAAATTGTTTGGCTTCTTCATATGTAACATCCCTCTGTGCTTCCAGATCTGCTTTATTTCCTATGAGGATTATCACCTAGTTCAGAAGAGAGAAAATTAGTCTGGGAAAAAGGTTATTAGCTTTTTCGCTACCACCCTCTTTATTAAAAAGATGAAAAAACAAAAGGAAATACGCAGAAAAGTTTAGCTGCAAGACCCACACATCTTCAGGAAAACGCTGCTCTAGCAGTGCACTCTCTGTAAAGTCAGGAACAGCGTCTCCAGCTGACACGTTCAAATGCTTTAGGCCATTCTCACGCGATGGGGTCCTAAAAAGCAGTAGTCCTGCTCTCTATTAAAGTTTTACTTGGAACCACTTCCCGCATTTGTTTAATCATCTGCTAATCCAGCCAGAATCTTTTAAGTTTTTCATCACAGCAGAGAGTCTTCCCATGAGCTTGGTGCTAAAGTATTTCAGGGGCATTCAGAAAAAGACTGAAGGACAACAGTTTTGTGGTGTGGTCAAACAGACACAGAAGAACCTTCTTCCCCCATCCCTCCAGAAGACCTGGTCAGCTTTCGCTGAAGATACGATTTATATTCCAATCGAAGATGAGATGGCATTCACCTCATTACTACCACAAAACAAGAAGAAGTAGTAACAAAAGTTAAGGTTTGTTCAGAGTGAATCACAATTTTGTCTCCAACTGCTGAAAATAGGCCCCTGAAAGGTGAGTAGCACAACAAGACTTTCAGAAGAAGCCACTGCTTTCCTGCACAGGAGCCTACGCTTTTCCTCCAGCTGCAGTAAGGGAAGAGAGACACTGGTATACTGCCAAGTGGGGACATCAGGGTAACTCGGAGCTAAGCAATTGAGAAAACACAGGCAGCTTATTTAAGAGAATACTGCTACCACTGCAGATGCTTTGGCCTAAGCCTTCCACCTCTTGCTTAGAGATAAGCGATCCTGCTTTCAAGCTAAATAAAGTCCAACTTACAGTATTTGGATTGGTGAGGTTCCTTGCATCTGTCAGCCAGCTGCTTAAGTGATTATACGTACTTCTTCTGCAAAGAATCAAGCGAGTTCAGTTTTAGCTACAGTATTTTTTAAAATACCCAAGTGCCAACAGCATAGTCAGCACCCATTAAACACACTAATATCTGTTATCCCTACTCTTCTCCCCAACCTCAAGACAGACAAAGCAGCCAGCATCTTGTTTGGACTCAGACCAAGATTTCAACAAGTCAACTTTAAACGCACAGAGCAACTCATACAACACAGGTGGAAAGACAGGCCAATTCACACCCGTAGGACGCGGCAGTTTTACTGCCCCCACAAGGACAACATTTGTATTGTTTTGTACAGAAAAAGGATTTCCTGTCAAATACTCTCCTGGAACACTGTACAGTAGAATAGCGCTTCGGTAACAAACAGTGCATAAGATGACTTATATTTTACTCAAGATTTAAGCAAACAGGAGATATAGCTATATATGCAGAAAAAAAAAAAGAGGTGCTTAAAGAATATCAAGAACAGCCCCAGAGGAAGACGGGAGACATGTGAAAGCAGGATTATTTTGTGTTGCACATCCGATTAGTTATTCTTTTAGCAGCATCTTTAATTTTCATCTGTAAAAGGAAGACAGGAGAGCTTCTACGCAGGCTCGTTTTGTTGGACGATTAGCCCGGGAAGAGGCCCACCCAGAAGTCGGACCTCTCCAATGCTCTCGTCTGTACAGAGTCTGTTAAGCACCTTTACACAGCCCACTGCAACAGAGGTAATATTCTGTCCTGTGCCTGCTCTAAGAATATTCCTGCCAGGTAAGCAGCAGTATCCATTGCCTCCCACGAAGAGAAAAATCCACGTACTGAAGAGCAGATTTTAAGGACAAAGCCAGTTCTTTAAAGAACTTCGACACAGGCAGTCAAGGCCTGAAATGGCAAGATCCTCAGGTCTGTCAGCAATGAAGTTTTCCAAGAAAAGCAGCTCACATAATTCCCTATGTTTCATTTTCAGCTCTTTAAATACTTCAAATATTTAGACAAAGAAGTGTGGTAAGCTTCACACAACAGGATACAAATCCAGACAGAGACAGAGTCCTTTAAATCCAAGTCAAGGGGACAGACAAGGCAGTACATACAAGGCTGTGGTATCCAAATAGCTTGTCGAGCACAGAGCTACGATACAAGATGCACCAGTCAACAGCACCTTACCTGGTAATGTCGTAGACCATGAGAGCTCCTGCTGCTCCTCTGTAGTAGCTTCGTGTGACAGCCCTGAATCTCTCTTGTCCTGCTGTATCCCAAATCTGTAGTTTAATTTTTTGGCCACTAACTTCAATTATTCTTGTGCCAAATTCAACACCAATTGTGTGGGGACAGTCCGCCATAACTGTCATGAAAAATAAGAGGAAAGATCAGATCTTTCTAGTACAAGGTCTCCTTGCTATAAAGATATCACTATCACCAGTTTTCAGTTACCTTTACTAGATTTTCAGTCCCTAAGAAAGCATTTTTACAGCTACAGTACCCAAACTGTATCACTTAACCAGAAATAAAAGTATTTCCTGAACTGCTGTTAGCTTTAAACACAGTTATAAAATTCCTCGCCTTCTCTGATGCATGTATACTGATGCAGTTTGGCCACATATATCAGAAGGTATCAAGTCAGCTGATTCTCAGCCTATCCTTGCAGAAGCGGTTAACTATTTTAATGCAGTAGGAAAAGGTAACTGTATCTTGGTAATTCCCTAAAAGTTAAAGTCTGTAAAACAGCTTCAACAACAAATATCCACGTCGTTTCAGACAGGGTAATAGCATGACTGTCCACAGGAAAAAGCCAGTTTCATGAGTAGCTATCAACACAGCAAATCAAAACCAAAAAGGCATCTTTCTAGTTATAATAAACTCATCTTAATAAGCTCATCTTTAAGAACGATCAAGAAAATACAGAAAGGAGGAGTACCTATTCAAGCTATCTACAGTTAGTGACAGTCTTGTAGTGAGGTGTTTGGTATGTTAGTTTGTTCGGTTGTACTGCTTCGGCTTAACACTGACAAAGCAAGAACAAGACACAGCCCTGTCAAGAATTTGACCATATGCAAAGCAGCATTTAACAATTGGCTGATACTGGATTTTAATTAAAAGCAACAGTTAAAAAATCCTATTTCTACTAGAACACATGAATATTTTAAACTGCAGCTCCTACCCACTTATTGCCACATCTCGAGTAGCACACAGTAAAGACTTAACTTTGTACTAATAAATACCTACAGACTTATCCACTGAGTGTGAGCTTCATGGAAAGTCGCAAGAGCTAATAGCTGCTGCAAACTCCAATACAACACTTTATTAAGAAGAATTGAAGCTAATTCTTAACTAGTCATGATAGCATACATAAAAAAAACATTGAGACAGCCTGCAGTAAGCCTTAAACACCATCACACAGGGCAGTCCAAGCGTCATGAGTCACAGCAGCTACAGAGAATGACAGTGCTACTTAAGGCTGCAAACAGAGTCAAAGAAAAATGAATCTTTTTTTTTCTTTTTGAAGTGCTTAAAAGCACTAAAGACCCCAAATGTTTGCGTTCAAGCTACACCAATACTGAAAACATACAAGTTTCAGACAAGAAATTTTACTTTGTTCCATATCAAAATTCCCCGGAAAAACTGTAAAAACAGACATGGTCTTCCCACTCATCACAGGTAGGACTGACTGAAGCAGCAGTTTTGCCATTACATCATCAATATTTTGCTTCTACATCTGCAGGAGTCAAAACAAATATCTGACCAAGTACAATACAAACCCATACAGATTAAGACAGACACCACACCAAGCTCATGCATGATGGAAGCAAAAAGGCAGGAAAGAGGGATGAAGCATACCAGTTAGAATAAATATTGTGAATTGAAATACTCACACTTCTTTTCTGTAAATTGATGAAGCAAACAGGACTTTCCTACACCCATGTCCCCTGTTACAGAAAGAATAGTTAAGGCTGACACCACATCATTGTTGCAACAAGCACATTTTCTTCATCCCACACAACAAATGGTACAGAGAGAGGCAGCCATTCCTTTCTGAGGTCTAGTTGGTAACATTCTATACCTGGCTACAGTCCTTAAGTTTATCAGCATTTGCACTATAGTTTTGGTCAGGTACAGGGTTGCAAGCAAGGGTGGAGCAGAAAACTCAAGAGAAGTTAATCTGTATTACTGTTTTTACAACTGTATTTCACAAGGTTATGAGACGTAGACCTGCAAGAAACCAAAATGTAAAATACACCTTTTGAGTGTTTGCCCTGCTCCTGTCTTACTTGCAGTTACTGGTAAGGACATCAAAAACACTGACAACCAACCAGAACACACCAAGAAATTGCTTCACTTCCACTGATCCACTTACACAATGCCAATAGTGAGAAATAGCAAGATCTGTTAAGAACCAACTTTTCCACAGGCCGAGGCTGTCACAGCAGCCTGACTTACAAACCATGACAATAAGATTGCAGATCACTTAACACCTACACAAAATCATTAAGAATTCAACAATTAAAAGCAAGATGAGTTCTTCCAGGACAGTAATAAATGCAAGCAAGTCCCTGACTCTAAACAGCCAAGGAAGCTGCAGCTAAAAGCAACATTTGAACACAAAAATAAAGCCTGACAGAAGTTTATAAGCCTGTCTAAAGCAATGGATTCCAATTAGTACTTGTGTCTTCAACATAGATTCTAAAAACCTTTGAGACTAACAATGCAGAGGCAGTCAAAGTGCTATAGTAAACCTGAATCAACACAACATCCCAGCTGTGTTAATTCCCATTACAGTTTTTCCCCCATTTCCAATGGATTTAGCAATTTTTCTAAATATAAAGTTGATTTAGGGAGAAAGGGACCACAGGCATGTGTTTTTAGAATGCCTTTTTTCCTAGTGCTATGCAGAAAGCTAAGCATTATGGCCCTAACAGTAAAGATATTCAAGAATACTGAAGTATGTATGTCAAGAAGAACAGTTATTTTTAACAGTAACTCAGCAATAAAGTGAACTCAATACAGGCACCGGTACTCGCCCTCACTCCCAGTTCACCTGCCACCAATCACACAGCTCTAGTTCTGCAGCACACAAAGCATTTGCCTTTATACTGTCAACTGCTAAAGCTTTAGAGCAAGTGCGGCCATCTGCAAGGGACTGGAGTTGGACAAGTAACTACTGAAAGAATCACCACCATATAGCAAGTAGCATGCGACAGAAGTCAACAATAGTACAGCCACGGGGTTTGTAGGTAGGCTGTCATGCATATACACATTGACATAAACAGGTACGTGCCCAGTGATACTTACCAATAATGATGTACTTAAAGATGTAGGAATAGTTGTAAGGTGCAGTTGCCATTGTGGCACTAAAACAAAAAATAGAACACATCAGAACTGCTACTTGTTCACCAAACTCAACCCAATTCATCCAATTTAGTTCATACAAGCAAACAAAAACCCCTTCCCCTTCCTCTCCCCCCCAACTATCCTTTCATTCACAGTTCAAGTTTCTGTGTACTTCCCCACAGTCACTGAATTGGTGCTAGAGACATTCAGCAAGACTCCCATATCATTTGCTCTGAACCCGTCAGTAAGGCCTCTGGGTAGAAATACGCTCTGCATAGTATCGATACTCATTCAATTTTATGCAGAAAGACTTAAAGCTGTTGAAAAGCTCCAGTAGCTTCTTGCTTTGTCCAGAGTCACTGAGCAGACCAGCACTCGCTAGCCAAATAGCTGATACATAAACTGAAAATAAAAGTCTGACTCCAAAAGAAAAATCTGAAGACGTTTAACAAAACCAGCAATTTGGAACTATTACCTCACACTTCTGAGACTTGCAACAGGAACAAAGGAAACAGTACAGCTTGCATCAAATAGCTGAGAATTACTTAAAAAGACAGCCCAAGAATGCTGTACTAGCCATAACTGGGGTCTGGACTGCTACACGCCCATGTTAGAAAAGCGGTACAAGCCACAAATCAGATGTTGGGGAAGTTAGTTAACATCTCTGTGGCTTTGCCAGCATAGTAGCATTACAGCAAGGTTTAGCAGTTTCTTTTTTTTTCTTCCCTTAAATACACCTCACTGGTGAGATTTACTCCCTAATCTGTGCTCTATAGTGGATTTAAGTGATCATCAAAATGAGATTGGGGTAAGTACTTCCAAAGTTTTCCTATGCTTTCCTAGATGTAGGAAGAATTAGAACTGGCTTCAGCTGCGTAAACCTGCAAGGGGTAATACCTGACTTACCAACTAATATATCAGTTAACCAGGATTACAAGCCTATACAGCCCAGATACTGCCCGTTAACATAAAGGATGCAAAATGCCTGCTTTTGTCCCAGGTTTTAAGTTAAGCTAGATATAGTGTGATCAGTTAAGCAAGTGGAAAATTTCTACTAGGAGTTCACCATTTCCTTTCCTGCTCCGGCATGGCAGATAGCCAGCCATTAGAAAAACATGATACTTTTTATGAAGAACATTGCTTTAGCCTAGAAAGATTTTCCTTCAGGTCATGTGTCATTCACATGACAAATGAAACCAGTACTGTAAAGAAATAAAAATGCAAGAAAGCTTACAAGCCTGTAACTTTTTCAAAAGCAAAGTATTGTTTCCTCAACCCCAATTAATCCACAACAGTGAACTGTAGTCATAAGAAAGAAGGTGACTGACAACAAATCTCATTCACAGTACGCAGCCAACAGCCACCGCTTCACACAGCTGAGGTTTAAAGCAAACGCTCTTATCTAGACCTTGGAAGGGGAACAACTCCAACGGGCAGTTAAGAAGGGTTTACTGTGTGCCAGTCGCTGACCTGCACCTTGCCTTTCCTTCATGCTTGGCTCGTGATATAGAAACTCTGAAGTCCTTCTATCCCAAGCAGTATGCAAAGCATCTACGCTAAGTCCTATATATACACACACACACTGTTCTATTAAACCAAGTTTAATCCAAGATAGTAAACAAAAGACAATTTTGGAGAGTAATTCTCATTGTGTTGGCAAGACAGAATTCCACATCAAGTGCTGCATGGGCTCCAAGAACAGCCATTTCAATCAAGAAAATTTTAGAGGAAACTCTTCTGCCGTAGTAGAGGGAAATCTCATGCAGCCATCCCACGCCACCATCGGTCTCTGGCAGATAACCACTCAGTGGACGGACCACTTCTTATTGCTGTACTGGGTAGGAATTCACATCCATGACTGAAAAATGCACTGCCCTTTATAAAACAAGCCAGCAAACTTTACTGCCTTATTTCCTGGAAGTGGAAGATTCCAGAGTTATAGTATCAGCACTGATTATTTTCAACATCAGCAAATAAAGACAAGTAACTGCTCCACACAGAGTTCAAAATTAACGTGCCATTGTGGAAACATCCAATACTTCAAATTTTCTGAACACGTCTTCACACATTATGTTCTTCCTCTTCTCCAGCATGTCCCAATAGCAGTAACATTCAAACTGAGCATCTTCTGATCCAATCCACTTGTTCTTACAGGATACTTGCTTTTTAAGTAAAGCTAGGAGGACTATGTTCATGGCTCAATTCAGTTTGATAGCTGACAAGGTTAAACTGGAGGATTACGAGGTATGTAAGTGGAAGTACAAAAAAAAGAAGCTTGAAAAGGCCAATTTATGTGTACAAGTACTTCAGGAGGATAGCATGAACTGTACTATTTTCCACAGAAAACAGGTGGGTGCTGCAGCCACAATAGAGGAAGAAAGGTGAAGACACAGAGCACTAACATGCATCTAGTTTGAAAGATCTATGGTGCGTTCTGAGGACAGTAGTAACTTACACTTTTTTTTTTTTAAAAACCAACACATTGTAAACTCCCAGATAGGGAACCACTCGGGTGGCTATGGAATCTCTCCTGCAGAAACCTAGGTGACCCTCTCTTCCTACACAGTAGTAGTTGGCTAAGGAATGCTAAGCACTCCAAAATACTCAGAGAAGTTTCATGTTTCTGAGCACATGACTTTACAATATTCCTGTACACAACAAGGGAGGGGAACATGTCTTACTATCCAAGCTTGTAAGCAGCATCACTGGAAGGTGAGGAAATTTTTTTTTTTTTTTTAGAGAACGGACAAAGTGGGAACTCTGTGCAGACTATATCACAAACTGAATTTGAAGTGAGTCTCTTAACTACAATCTTCACTGCTAAATACGGATCTCTGTTTATTGACAGACTGTTTTTGCTTGCTAAGATATGTCAATGTTCGTTACACTCTTTAAGTAAAGAAGTCTAACTATGCTATTTCAATATAAAAGAAACTGTCACTGCTTTGCAACTTATCATAAAAACCATTTCCCACTTCAAAGTGAGAGTGAGAAAACCAAATTCTGTGCTTGGCAACAAAGTCCGCTAAGAACTGGGTGGGAAGGGAGGACTAACTTCAAGCCCCATCTCATTGTTAAAACTTCACCCCCATTCTTACAGTAATATTAGGTCCCTAAAGGAGGGGAGAGATCCCACACCCCACTGTGTACCGCCAGACCTAGCATGCTCTCTCCACAGCTTAAAGAAACAGATTGTTAATTCAGATAAATTCACTCATACGATGAGTCTAGACCTTCTCTTAGGTCCCAGAGAGTTGCTGGAGAAGTTATTGTGCCTGATAGACGTACATACTGAAAGCTTGCAGAAAGACAGATAGGAAGTTTAAACACAATTTCTGGAGCTAAACTGAAAAAAAAAGTAATACTTTGGTAATGCATTTATTCCAAGGGTCACATTACAGAAGATTCTGAAATACTCCAAATTATTACTAAAGGTCAGGAATCTTTTCTGGAGAACAGATGACTTCTTTAAAAAAAAAACAAATAACAAATTTTTAAACACTCGAATTCCAATAAGGATAAGCAGGAATCCAAACTGTACTCAGATCTTGGCATAAAACTGATATTCCAGAAGAACTCTGTGCTGAAGGGGAAAAAAATAAATGCAACAAACTGAACACAGAAGCCATGGCGAGAATTCAGCCTTAGAAAGCTTACAATCAGCATTTACTACAGATGAAAGAAGTAAGTCTAGACAAGAATAGTGCACAACAGGATTCAGTAAACACAAAACATACTAGCTACGTGTTAATGCAAGGAGTTAATATACATTGATAGCATCAGCCACCTGTTGAAACTGGAGTTCTACTTCCACTTCACAGCCCTCTGTTCCAGACATGTGAACCTTAATAATCCCAATATGGGGGTTTGGGGTTTTCCTCTTGGGAGAGCAGGGGGACAAGAACTGCAGGACTGAGAAAGCTGCACGTAAGTATATGCAACTCACCTTCAGCCACTGCTGACAGTACACAACATGACATCAAAGTTAGCCAACCATGAATTTACTGTTAACTGAAAGCAAAAAAGTTTAGCCTGGAAGCTTGCTCTACCTGCCATTTTTCTTCCGGGAAAGTCTGCCAACTTCAAACAAGTTTTAGCTCCCTTTTCAGAGGTAACACTTCCCCAGAGTTTAGAGCATTATTTCAGGATGGCAACTAGCCAGAGGATCATGCTTCACTATACACAGATTGCTGCTAGTTTCAAAGCCTGTACAATTACTTTCTGTATTACAGTTAGGACTAGAAATTTCACAGTGAACAGTGTCACCACAATCCATTTTCCATATATCAACTTCTCTTAGAGGCTTTTTTTTTAATTTATAAAAAGTTAAAGATGACCTTAACGAGATACTAGTGACACCTACATTTCCTCCTCTAATCAACAAGCACCACACAGGTATTTTGACAGCTCACTGAAGCCTTATTTCAAGTATCAGCATACATCTGTACAAACTGAGATAAGGTTGTTCTAGGCGCATTGCCATAACATTCTTTATCAGAATAACATAACTGTAAATATCATATCCATACCAGCTTTCGTGAGACCCATGCAGCTCCTTCTAGCTCAACTCAAGGACATAGTCAATCTTAACTGTTCACTGGATATCAGTTGCACACAGAAATTCATAGCTTTATGCTCAGCAAGAAGCAGGTATGTTATCAGAAGAGACTAGAACCTGTATGCACAGGTTTTATTAGACACTGCATGTGGCTAATACCACCAGCTGACCGATCCACACAGAGATGATACCTCTGAAAACAGCTATCAGCTTCAAACTCAGGACTGTGTAATTATTACAGGTTCCCCTTAAAAACATACCACTCTGCAGCCAGAGGACCACTGTTTAGTTACTCTGAAGCAAGAGACATTTTGTATTTCATCTGGCCATCCAGGTGTTCTTTCCTCAAGGATATGCAACGGGAAAGGATCTCACAGTTGAAGTCCAGTTCCCTTCTATAAAAGGTAATGCCATCATACCATTCACTTCATAAACTGAAACAACTTTTAAAGAGCTGTTAGTTTTTTCATTTGGAAAAAATATTAGTTGCGTACAAAGGGAACTGTATGCAACCAATAATAACTATTATTTAGAGCAGCTTCTAAGTGTCTACACAAAATGACTAGGTAGTTACCCTCTTTCCCAGGGCACAATCTTCCTCCTCTTCTCTGCATATTTACTTAGATGTTAACTAGCAGTGAACACTGAGAAGAGATTGATAAGGGGGGGAAGAACTGGGGAGAGGTAGAATTGTTTCAATTCCTAATTGCACTGTTCCCCTGATGAAGACTTTTGTCAAGCACACAAAACAACGCAGTCTAACTGGTACCTTACTTTAGAAGGCTGCTAGAAATACAGTCCGTAATTGCTTCAATTGTGGTCTTCTGTAAAAGTCACACCATACTGGAAAGTATTAACAGCTTTGTTATCAATACACCCAAGCGATGAATTCCCATAAGTCTGTTGTCCACAGCAAGTTATGAAATCTATTACAATTAAATTTCATTGTGGTTCTATGACTTCCACACACCAAGGACCTTTAGGTCTTCCTGAAGATACAAACACCTCTGCCCTCTTTAAGACGATGGCCCCACAGCCGCCCTGGACTGTTTGTTTATTTTTGCATGCTTGTCTTTAAAAAGCTCTCTCCTGAGACTGATCCCTGAGGAGTCTCATTAGCAGCCTGCTAGCAGCCCAGTACTTTCACATCTAGCTGACAACATTACTTGTTGCTGGCCAGTTCCTCACTCATTCTTCAGCTCTTCTAGAGTCACCCTCTCTAGCTCTCCCCATTTGGATTTCATTAAAGCATCCGACTAGCACAAGCCAGTAAATTTGGCTGAACTGATCTTTGATCAGACAGCAACCCAGCAAGCTTCTTATAATCTGCTGTTTAAGATCACTTTGCACTTCCTTGCTACTTCCATGTCCAGTTATTCTTTCTCTGAAAGCACGAGGTCTGCACGCTACTGGGCTCAGACTAACAAGCTTGCAGCTGTGCAGAGCCCCGTTTCAAGCTGTTCTTGAAGAAATGCATTTGCTATATTCTCTAATCACGTAGAACACCTTAACTCAGCCTGAGGCCTAATAAGCATTTCTGAAGACTTCACAGGCCTTCACTTCTCTTCCTATATGAGGACTTTGACTTTATTTATTTTTAAATCAAGGCTATGCATCATACTATCTTCACTTTTTGATTTTCCTCAACAGCTACCCAGTCATACACACATTCTGTTGGCTACCCTTTTAATGGTTTCGTATCCTGCTCCATCAAGCTCCTCCATTTTGTTTCCTAAACTTCCTGCATTTATATGCACACACCTCATTTCTTATTAACCACACCCTAGCACCATAGCTACATTAAATATTGCATACCTGTCCTCATCAGTAAGAGCACTTTCTCCAATGTACATTCTCTCAGCCATAGTTCTTTATCCATTTGTATATCCTCATTTATCCTATTTTCCTCTTCCTATAAAAGTCTAACCTGTAGCACATGTCTGCGTTCGTAGCAGGAGAATCAAGTTTCAGAGACATCAGGTAAGTTTAGGAACAGCATATACAGAAACCAGGAGAGTTTTATTGTCAGTCTAACAAATGAGAACAACATGCAACTGTCTGGAGTCACCGCCTTGGAAAACACAAGAAGTCACAAACACATTTTAGAACAAAATTAAGGTCTACCCCCTTTGTTGCAGAAAGATACAGCAAAATGAGAAACAATCCTAAGCAGGTTCCATTAGATGCACAGGAGTAAGCAAGTAATTTTAAAAGATCTATTTACATTTTAAATCCTAGTACCTCCAGTATAACAGGTTTGTTTCAAACCGCTGTCCTCCACAACAGCTTTCTTTTTTTTTGTTATTCAGAAAGTGGGAAAGAAAAATAGGAGCTTCTTCCTTCCACTCAGATTTATGACATTTTCAAATCCCTACAGGAAGCTAGCAAAATCCTTTTTAATCCATATTAAACTATGTGATATCTAGTTATTAAGTCCCCCAGGGTTGAGATTTTCTTCCCATTCCTGAGCAATGCCCAAGCACAAGAGGCCCTCAATCCAAACCATGAGAGAAATCAATCCCCAAAACAATGCATTCCATATGATAACATCTGGCTACTGGAAAAGTTGGACTTCTGACTTGTGGTTTGAAATGATTTAGGATATAGACAACCTGAGTAAGTCTTGTTCACAAAGGGGTGAACCTCTGTGAAAAAATGTGAAATTTTTTTCACATAAAAAAAGTGTTTAACATAAATGTTAAACATAAATGTTTACGTTAACATAAATGTTCAACATAAAAAAAATGTTTACCTCTGTGAAAAAATGTCACACAACAACATAGAACCACTCTGTTTCAGAGGCCTAGAAAGCAAAGTCCACATCAAGTAACCATCAGAGCAACAAAGCCATTGCCAGAGACCCCAATGCAGACAGGCACCTTTTCCTGGCTTTACTACAAGGATAATTCAGTACAATTTTAATTCAAGACAAAGCTATCCACGGATGTTATAGAAAACTTAAGAGTGTACTGCAAACAGGCAATAGGCAACTAGGTGAAAAAGCAGAACTTCATTCTTCTGTTTAGCCCAAATAAGCACTGACAAACAAAAACAGAGAACAAGCCTAGAATACTTTCGTTGCTTTCTCGAATAGGAAGTGGCATTCCCCTCAGCCCTCATGAAAGTTATTTTTCTGTCGAAGTTCATGACAGCACGGGTAATAATCAAAAGTACAGATATGACCACACACCGGCCACACACACCGTATAATATATACATGCAGTAAACACTCGACGTGCAACTGGAACAATTAGTAAGGCGCACATATATATATATATGCCGCATGTGCGCGAGTACTTGATGGTGGCGTGTTACACAGGGAGTGTGCAGTGCAGAGGAGGAATGGGAGGCGGTGGCGACGAACAGTGCAGCAGCGGCCTAGCTCCTGCCCAGCCAGCCTCACCCTCCCCGGCCCCAGAGGGACCAGCGGCCCCCCCCCCCTTCTCCCCCCCCC